TCTATTTCCTATTTTAGCAGCTCCTCTATCAACAATCAAGGCGAGTCTCATAGATAGAGACTTGGGATTTTGTTGGGATTTCGTGAATTGGGGTTTTGTGTGAGAAAATCCTTGCATGTTTGATTCTGGTAATGAATAGGATGTATTCTGATTATTTATGTGTTTTATAATTATGGATACATCATTTATGATTCAAAAAGTGGGATTTGGAACCTCAAATTCGTGTTCTGCAAATTATGGTTTTTCTGAACACAACGACTTTCGCTTAGCGAGCTAAAGCCCCCTTAGCGCACTTGTGTGAATTTGCGAAGCCTTTTCTCTAATCACGCTAGGACCCTTCTTAGCGAGCTTCCCTGCATAGAATTTTATAATTGTTTCCCCTGAGTGCAATTCTGTTTTGTATTGGGAACTGGACGCCTCCTTGGTCTGCTGTGACTTTTAAGGTGTGTTTTGAAATGTATGATACCACAAAATGATCACTTTTATTCTATTTGTATGAATATGTATGCTTAATAAATGCATTGTGTTGGAAATGCTATGTTGTGATCATTCGGTGTTTGGTTTTGTTTGTTTCGGTTGAACATTCAAACGCGTCTTAATGGATAAAAGAGGACACTTGTATTTGTGTTATTTAAATTTAAGACTTTATGCATATGTGCATGTTGAAATTTGTGTGTATTTTCATTATCCTCCTCCATGTGGGAATGATCTGGTGTATACTCAGTGGATAGGTTGTGACCAATTGCATACTCATGCGCATTTACATTTGTCCTCCCTCAATCGGAATGATCTGGTGTATACTCATTGGCTTAGGAATGGGCGACTTATCATAATCACTGCTCTCATTGGGAAGGATATAGTGTATACTCATTGATCGGTGTAAGATGTGCTGGTACTCAATGGGAATGATCTGGTGATACTCACCGTGTTACCGGGGAAATGTTAGTACTCAATGGGAATAATCTGGTGTATACTCATAGTATTACTGAGAAAGGCATTTCCTTTGGCAGGAAAACATCGGTGCTTGGTATGGTGGGGTTGTGATGACGTGTAGGTAAGGTCACTTTGATTACTCGCCCCTAGTGATGCCATGTAGGCAATATTACTTGGCCTTCACCGGTGGGCTTGTGTAGTAATGTTGACGTGGTTGCTCTAGCGCTTATTACACTTGTATACTTGTTTGGTTTGTGCTTGACTGTGTGTGATGTTATCTCATTAGTTAGTCAAGGGACTTTTGATGGAGATGCTACCCATTTGTATGTTTGCATCAGACTGTGAATAAACCCAAGATTCACGGTGAATCCGTTTGATTGCATATACCTTGTAAAACTGAGTGAATCCATAGGATATGGAGACTCACTAAGATTACTAAATCTCACCCCAATCCAATTATTATTTTTCAGGTTGTTCGAGGCAGGATAAAGGTAAAGGTAGGATGACTTAGATTTTCAGAGATAATTCTTAGCTATGTTTTTTCGTTTCTTTTGGATCTCTCAACTTATGTATTTCAGATTATGTATTAGTACATTTTGGGATTTGTATCTTTTGAGCCATGATACATTCAACTTTTGTATTTTGTACTGATACTTATCCAGTTCTGCTGCTTATGTATGATATTCATATACCTTTTATAATACCATGCACATATTATCCTAAGCAAATATGTGTGAGGTGTTACAGTTGGTATTAGATCCTGCTTCATTCTTGGCTTTGCCATGAAACATCATAAGTCAGTTCAATTTTGCCTCATATGTGTAATTATCGGCATGATTCCTTATGTCTTACTTATGGCATTGATCCTTGTTGTACCCCAAAATTTTCCCTTCCATTTTTCATTCAAGATGTTCTCCTAGGGTTTCTCAAATGCTCAAGATGGCTTAGGAGTTGATCAGACAGATTCTCCTCCCAAGCATTGAGTCAGCAATTAGGGTTTGGTATTTCTCAAGAAAAATTGAGTTTCCAAAGTTTCAAATGGTATTCATGGTTCTTCATGTATTCTCAAGGATGTTTGTGCCAAGTTTCAAGCCTCGTATCGCAAGTTTGCTCAGTCGATAATTCAGATGACTGAAAATCAACAACATTGATCAAAAGTCGACCTTTTCAAGATCAAATTCAAACGATTGTAACTTCTTCATTATTCAATATTTTTGAGCGGTTCTTTTTGCACATGACTCTCCTTGACGTCATCTCCTATTTCTCTTTACAAGTCAAGAGCTGATTATATGCGGAAGATCATCAAAAAATTTGAATACTTTAGAGGTCATTTTGCAAACTTGACCTAATCACAAGAAACTCTTGTCCAATTTTCGAGGTTCATAACTTCTTCAATTTTCAACATCCTGAGGCGATTCTTTTTGCGAAGTATCACGAATAGCGTTGTCTATGAGATTACTTCAAAGATCAAGGTCAAATTATGCCTGGTTCAATTTATGTCACTGACGTTTCTCAAAGGACGTTTGATTCTTATGTTGAGATAATTCATGAAACTAGAGTTCTAGTTCAATGATTCATTGATTGCTTGTCGCTTACTTCAAGTCATTTGCAAGTGAACATTAGCGATCATTGGATTAAGGTGGATTGTTGATTAAATCTCTTAAAGGCATGATTTGTATTATTGGCTCGTTACCGTGAATTGACGGTCTGGGTTTTAAAGAAGAAGATTTGAGAAACAATTCGAATAATTCTTATTGATTTCAAATCGGTTTAAGTGTGCGAGGCACAATTCATTCATATGAATTTTCTTTTGGATTCAAGATATACAAAAGAACTAATTTCTCATGATGCAAATTTGCTCAATTTTGAAGATCAATTCATGATATTTATTTGGATCTGTACTACAAAATGCAAGATTGAAGTCCTAAGGCTTGCATTATTGTTCATTCATCATTCAACAAATACATTCAAGTATCAATCAATTCTTTTCCAAATTCAAGATGGAAATTTCCATTTTCAATCAAGATTCAAGAATTGTTTCATTTCCATACAACAAGTTCATCATTCATAAAATTCAAAGAAATATCATTCAAGTTACATTTTGGGGGCAATTTACAAAAAGGATTACAATGCGAAATACGAACTACAGTTGTTTTGTTTACAAAAATGAAATGATGTTCCTTCTTCAAGTCTCTTTGCTTTGTCTTCAAGTAACTCATCCTCCTTTCCGTCAGTGACTTATCTTCATTTTTAAACCTTGCTTTGACCGTCCAATCCTCATGCTCATGAAACAAGAAAAAGAGGAAAAAGTTAGCAAACATCAACACGTGAAAAATTCCAAGCAAGAATTAATGGTTAAAAGAAATTTGTATCTCATCATTAGGATTTGCACTTGGAATCAGAAATTGTAAAAGGGTTTTGTTTCAACTACAGGCTATCTTCTCCTATTTTGCAAATCAAAAAACTTGGATTTCAGTTCACAAAAGGAAAAGAGGTTTGCAAATGTTTTCTTACTGCAAAAACAAGCCAAAACAACAAATATACGCAATGCAGCCCACTACAAACAGCAGCCCAAAAACAAATACAAACAAGCAAAACAACCAAGACTGCAAAGATAGCGAAGCTGCAAGCAACAACAGCAATGCGGAAAAGCTACAATCCAAAAGCGCAACAAAACAAGGCAAAACAGTCCAAGGCAGCAAAATAATATACACAACAGACATCAGCAAAATAGCAGCGCAGGAAGTAGGCTGCTAAAGTCACAAAACAACACAGTAAATCTGGAACAAAGCAAGCCAAGGCAACAACAAAAGAGCCAAAACACAAAACAACGGTGCAAGCTAGCACTAGCTCACATAGCCCTATATATCATCATTTTCCTAAATATTGCAAACCCTTCAGAAATTTCAAAAAGCAAAATAGTTTGTATCATTGAAAGATAAAGAAGAAAAGAGACAGGTTTAGAAAGATATCACCTAATCTAAAAAAGTCCAAACAGCCTGCACAACCTGAAAATTGCCCTGCTATAGCCTGCTAACAATGCTGCAAAATCAGTCCAACACCTGCTATGTTATGCTGCCTATAACAGTACAAACCTGTCACAAAACTACAAAAAAAAGTAGCCCAATGGGCCTGCTGTCCACTATATATACTATCCAACAATACATCGAAATGGCCGAAAACAAACTGCATCGGAAAAGGCCAAAAAAAATTTAATCAAAGTATTCAAATATCATTTCATTCCCCCCCAAAACTCATTTTTTATCACCTATATGAACCATTGGCAGCAGTATGAAAAGAGAGGAATTATCTGTTATGAAACATATGGAAATCCCACAAAGAAAAACAAAACTGAAAAGAGGATACATACATAAAAAACATGCTTCATAATCATTCTTCACTCTTTTGAAGAATCAACTACAATCCTCATGCTTCATCTCCATTATATATACTTTTCAACCTGCATAAGCATAAAAAATTATGCCCTAAACCTCTTGACCTTCAACTTTCTTCAGCCCTTACAACAACACACCCTGCTCAACCTTGTCTAAAACCTCACCTTTAACCATTCAATCATTCTTCCTTGTACCACTCGCATACCGGATCTAGCCACTCTGTCGAAAACTGAGAAATAACCACACCTTCACACACAAAAATACACTAAAAAACCTCTCTTTCACTCATACTGCTTTGTGTTGATTCCAAATAACAGTAACATTTCTCTCATTTCAATCTATTAATCAAAAGAAACCTTGTTGCCATTTACTAATAATTTTTTAACCCTCCTTCATTTTCTTCTATCTAATTCACAGAACATTAACGATACATACTATCCTTGTTTTGAGTTTTTTTTTTGTTTAAACTAAAATCTCACAATAGCCGATAAACCATTACTATTCAAACCTCCACCATTTCCTAAAAGCTTCAAGAATCACGACAACAAAGAAGGGACAATATTCACCTAACATCATACACACACAAGTACACCAATAGAAGAACCAACGACATACACCACAAACCAAAGAGGAAACTACAAGAAAAGTTTTCACTGAAAAAAAGAATCAGAGATGCAACCTGTACCTGCAAATGGAATTTCTCATGCTGGTATTAATACTCAGGTTGTTCAATATGAAACACCTCCACAACTTGGCCCTGGACATGCTATGGTGCCACCACCTGCTTATCCATATCTGGATCCCTACTACAAAAGCATGTTTGCTCCCTATGACGCACAAGCTTATTTGCCACAGCCCTATGGTACACACCCAATGACCAATCTTCAGCTAATGGGAATTCAGCATACTGATGTTCCTTTTCCTTCTGATGCAGTCGAGGAGCCTGTATTTGTCAATGCAAAATAGCATCATGGTATGTTAAGACGCAGGCAGTCTCGTTGCTAAAGCTGAATCAAAAATAAAAGTTAAAAGGAATCGCAAGCCATACTTGTACGAATCACGACATCTACACACACTAATAAGAGAAAAAGGAAGCAGAGGTCAGTTCCTGAATTCAAAGAAAGATGAGAATCAATCGAACGATGCGGGATCAACTGACAATTCACATTCCAATATCAATCTCAAACCTAAGTCTAAGCCGAGAGAAGAGTAGAAGAGGAATAGTTTGAGCTTACCGTAATCCATAGATTCTCGTCAGAGCTCCTCCTTGTGTTACCGTGGGATCTTGATCCCCAGACACCGGTTTGAAACCCTTGAAGTGGTTCGAAAGATGTAGTCTCCGATCTATACATGTGAGGTTCCGTTTGAAGGATACAATCTCAGATTCGAAATCATGAGCCGAAAAGAAGGGGGTTGGTGTTGAACACGTTTTGTTTTGAGGCGTTACATCGATGTTCTCACTGGAGGAGATGGCAGTTTCTACCATGGACCACTGTGAGCCGCCACTCACTTCATCCTCCGGCAAAAATTTGTTGAGAAGGAGAGGACATGAAGGGAGAGGAATATCTGATATTGAGCATTGTTGAAGTTGAAAACTGAGAATTCTTTTTGTTTTTTGTTTTGGCTTCAAGTGGTGACACCATATTTAATCCAGCGCACACTATCCCGTGCCCTTACAGTGTACCAGCTTCATCAATCTCTCTGTCATGCATACTTTGATAAATTCCAAGGTCTAACGGCCATCAGCACTTCAGGTCCAAGCGCATACAATGAGTTCTCTTGGAACGATCACACCAGATTACCGTGGATCAGGTCTTGGGCCCATGCACTTCTTTACTGTTCATACCCCAGGTTTACTTCTATTCAGACTCATTTCTTTTTTTTCTTCTTTTCTTAGTTATTGTTTTTTTTATATATCAAAATTGCAAAATTATATTTAGTTTTCTTTAGATAATTATTTATGTTAAGTAAACTTAGTTAATATAATTAATTTATTTTATTAAAGAAGATTACTTAATTTAATTAATTAACATTTTTTTAGTTAATATTCTTTTAAACTGTTTAATTTCTACATAATAAAATTCAAATAATAAAAATAAAACACCAAAATGTGATTTAATTACTTTTAGTCATTTAATTTTTTTTTTAGAATAATCTTTATTTGCCCTTCAAAATTTCTCACAAACAAAAATACCAAAAACATTATTTTTCCTATTTAGTTTTACTTTAATAGTTTGTTTTAGTATAATTAACTGTTTATTTTTAATTCGATTTAATTGTATTAATTGCCTATTTAGACTTTTTTATCGCATTGTCGATTCGATCCATCCCCATTTGTAAATTTGTATTCTCCATTCCCGAAAGCTCTGTAATAACGTAGAATTTTAAATTTCCACAATTTAGTATTTTCCTTATACTGTATAGTAATTAGGCGTGTATGGCAAGATTAAAATCAATCGCTAGATAACCCTAATCAAAGACAAATTAACTTGAAACAAACACACTTTTCACACACGCACCTCTAGGGTTAACAACACTTGTTGCCTTCGAAAAAATACAGTCATGTCCCTCGAATGTGGGACGCTTTAGAAAAGACCCTTCGATAAAAAAGTTTGTAGTCCCTCGATGTCCCTTGATGCTGGCTTCGGTAAAATGATCTAGTCCCTTGTGAAAATTGCTAAAGCGTCTCACAAGTTGCCTTCTATGACTATACGATTGACCCGCGCCTGTCCCTTCACATCCAACGACAAGTCTTCTTAACAAATCAATGGTAAGATAGCAACATCTAAAGGAGGACGAAAAGAAAAAAGAACTTTTGAGCAGGTAGGACGCTCGTAGTTGCTTGCTCACAACATTTTCAAAACAACATCCTTCAAAATACACTCACACTTTCAAAATATCTTCAAAAACAAACATCTCTTTGAACTATTTTCAAAACCAACACTTTATATACATTCTTATAGATACGAGAATCATTACAAAGTTTGACGAAACAAAGGCGTTTTCAAAATACTTTCAAACTTGCACTAATCATAAACACCTTTCAAACAAAAGCATTTTTCAAAGTGATCAAGCAACTAAGAGCCCGTAAATAACTACGGATGAAAAGGATGCTAACACCTTCCCTTTTCATAACCTACCCCCCAAACTCAAGAAAATATATCAAAAGGTCTTTCCTGTTATTTTCACCCTTTTATTTATTGGATAAAAGAAAGTCAGTGGCGACTCTTGTTATCCGCAACAATTGCGATAAAATGTAAAACACCCAAGTCAGTTCTCCCATCGTATTACAGAACTGACGACTCTGCTGGAGACAATTTAAAAGTGGGGTTAAGTTAGAGATTAGATCACCTTTAAAATGCTTTAATTTTTTTGATTTGTTTGATTTTATATTTATGGGTCCTTGTTTGGGTTTGTATTGATCCTTGTGATACGGTGGTAGAACCGACTGTTAATACTGGTTTGCATTTTTTGTTCTCAAATGTCGCGGTAAGCAAGAGTCGCCACCGACTTTTTTTATCGAACAAAGGGAAGGGTGAAAAGAGCAAAAAAAAACCTTTTTTGAGATTTTCTAAGTAAGGGGAAGGTGTTAGCACCCTTTCCATCCGTGGTTTACCACGGGCTCTTAGGTACTTGGTCATTTTGAAAATTGCTTTTGTGTTTGTGTGTTTTGAAAAGATTTTTGTTTTCTTTATGATAACTCTTGCATCAGTCCTCAGGAGTGTGATAAAGCGTTTTTGAAAGGAATTTTGAAAGTGTAAGTGTAAAAGTTATTTTTGAGCAAGTACCTAACAGTTATCTACCTACTCGAAAAAGGGTGTTCTTTTCCTCCTTTCCTTTAGATAGTGTTATCCTACTATTAGTGAGTAGGTAGCCCTATCGTTGTATGTTGAGGGACTATGGAAAGGGACACTTATGGTCATTGAAGGAAACATGTAAGGATACCTTAGTATTTCGAAGGGATTGTCATCATATAGGAAACATTGAGGGACAAGATCATTTCTCATGGGCAACTCAAGGGACGTTAAGGGACCATGATCTTTATGATGACTTTTTAAGTTGAGGGTCTTTGCTAAGATATCCCTACGTTCGAGGAACATGACCATTGTTTTTCTAAGGCAACCAAGTGAGGTATACCTTAAGGGTGCAAGTGTGAGAAATGTGTCCAATTAAGATATTTATCTTATGTTAATGATCTAATGATTAATTTGATTAATCTTTGTCGTGCACACCTAATTTACTAGCAATTATATACAAGCATATAAGAAATATAAATCGAGAAATAAAAGTTCCTACGCTATTACAGGACTTTGGTGTAGATACATAAGTAATGGACGAAAAAGTAAAAATGCGGAAATTAAAACCCTAATTAACTATTAGAAACTGGGTGCGATTACATAAATAATAAAAAATAATCGTATGAAAAAAAGTAATGACACGCAAAAATTAAGACGAGAAAAGGTTCTAAACCCTAAAAAATCTAATGGCTCATTAATTATTATTTTTGTATTTTATGAAAATAATTAGAAGTTTAACCTAATTCTCTAATTAATTTTAAATTAAATAAAATAATTTAAAGTTAACTAAATTAATCAATTTGCAAAAATTAATTTATTAAGAAAAAACTAAGTCCTAATTTTTTGTGATGATTTTCTGATTAAAAAAATAATGAATAAACAAAATATAAACTAAATAAGAAGAATAAAAAAACAAATGAGAAATGGGCTTGAGAGGGGGTGTGAAACCTAAACTGGGGGGTGATGCTGTTGAATTTCCAGGGCCCAAATCTTGTTGGCCCAGACCCTTGCGCCTGATTCAGTGGTATGGCTTGCTGGGATATCCACAATGGTCTCCAGTCACCTGGAACATTGGATCTACCATCTCAAGATTGGATGGCCCAAGTGTGAGGCCCATCATACGCTTGTTGTTTCTCAAGTGCACTAGATCTGGAACATGATTGTTAGAAAAATGCAAAATATCAATTCCTGGGATCGAACCCAGGCCCCTTATGAGGGAATACCTTTGCACGCTTACTCATCACCGCTGGGCCATTTGATTCAACTATTAGTATAATGAAACAAAAACAATATAATGGAAAATCAAGAAATAGCTGAGTCATAAAACACGCACGCACTTGTGGTCCCACTGAAATTTAAATAAACCAATCAAAACATATGAAACTGCCACGCAAGGTCCTTGGCCAGTCAAACCACCCTGGATGGTGGTTCCAGTCATCTTCTCCGACCGGCCAAAAATCTAACATGCAAAATAGGGAGATTTGAAGCCTAAGATTTTTCCTAGCCCCCCTAAAACCTAGGTTGCGAGTTCAACCATGGCATTAGTTTGGTCTAAAGATGTCTCCATCTCTGAAAACAAAGCTCACATGTTTTCAAACCCTAATAGTGGCAAGCTTTGATTTTGGCACTAAAAATCACATGAAGCACGTTAAAACATTTACGATGATCAATATGAATACATATATGCACACATAACTCATTTATATTGTGTAATAAGAGGATTTGAATTCAAGAAATTATACCAAATCAGTGATGCTTGAAGGAGGTGTCTTGGGCACGATTTGGCTTGGCTAATGGTTCAAACAAGCTCCTGGGAACCTTGATAACGAGAAAACATATCGTATAATTAACATACTTCTTACCGATTTTATATTCCATTAAGTCGTCTAACCCTCGATTATTCCGAGATTATTTGTCTTTTTTGCAGGTATGACACTTGTCGACTCAAATCAATGAAAAAGGACAACATGAAGAAAGCTAGACGAAAAACAAAGAGAAAAAGAATAAAAAAATACAAAGTGTTGACTTCTGGATAGGTGACGGTCGTCACGCCCCTGTGACGGGCGTAACACCCCACAATATAAGGAAACGATCGTCACGCCCCTGTGACGAGCGTAAGACACCACTTCAGCGTGTGACGACCGTCACCCACCTGTGACGACCGTCACGCGCGTGAAGGAGGACGTTGCGCATAATTGAAGATGTGGGCGTGAAGGGCAGAATAATTCTTCCTGTTTCTACTGAATCTCCTATTTTATTGCCACAACTATTACTGCTCCTAGAATTTCTCCACGAAGACTTCATCAAGAATTCAAAATTAAAACTGCTGATTTTTACTGCTATATATATGAGTACCAAGGCACAGTCCAAGGGTCGAAGAATTTTACTCAGAGCAATATTTACTTTATTTTTACAGTTATTTCCAAATTGTTTTGTTTTGCAATTCTGCTTTCATTTCCTTGTAATTTTCATTCAAGCCTTAGTTTCTATTTTTAAGTGTTAATCCTTCTTACAAGAATTAACACGAATTTCTACTGCAAGTCAAGCTTGAAGATTTGGATTACTGTATTACCTCAAGATTACTATAGCATCTGTAATTCCAGGTTTTTATATTGCAATTATTATTTATTCGTTTTCTATAATATGCCAATTATTGCCATGAATTGTATTTTGAACTTATTTACTGTTAAGTTAATTATGTCTGGCTAAATTATTAATACCGGTATGTGACCGTAAGAACTGAAAGAATTCAATAAGACCTTGGCCAAAAATATTTATAAAACAATTTCTAGTTTCCAATTTCCAATATTAATTTAACTATCCTTGTCACGAGAGTGAGAGGTTAATTAACACGATTTTGCCACGAGAGTGGGAAATTAATTAAGGCAAGAACCTGCACGCGAGAGCTGGGGTTC